GCAGGGCCACAAGGATGATAAGGGGCCTGGAACACCTGCCCTATGAGGAGAGGCTGAGGGAGCTAGGCCTGTTCAGCCTGGAGAAGGGAAGGCTGAGAGGGGACCTGAGCAGTGTCTAAAACTACCTCAAGGGAGGCAGTGAGGAGGATGGTGCTGGCCGCTTTTCAGTGGTGGCCACTGACAGAACTAGAGGAAACGGCCAGAAACTGAAACATCGAAAGTTCCACAGGAACTTAAGGAAAAATTTCTCCACAGTGAGGGTGACAGAGCCCTGGAACAGGCTGCCCAGAGAGGTTGTGGAGTCTCTTTCTCTGGAGATCTTCAAAACCTGCTTGGATGCAGTCCTGTGTCACGTGCTCTAGGTGACCCTGCGTGTGCAGGGAGGTTGGACTAGATGATCTCTAAAGATCCCTTCCAACCTAGAGATTCTATGATTCTCTGAGTATCGGAGGAATCAAACCAGAACCAAGAGGAGATCCAAAATATCCAAAATACCTTTAAAACTTTGCCTTTGTCACATATTCAGCTTCAATTAAAATCTTCAAGAGTCTTTCCTCTCATTGACAAGCTAGAAAATCAGTGAGTTTCTCCTGACCTTGAAGCATCTTCTCTTAAAAGGGTTGTTCTCATTAAGTAGGTAGAAGCACATATACCCCAGGCACAAATTCCTTAGGGAAGCCAAGAAAGACCTGGCTCTCTTATTTGTACAGGCCAGCTCAGCTTCCCTCACCTCAAATGATGCAGATGTGTGGCTGTGGAGATCCCCACTTACCCTCCCTTTCTCATTTAGACTAGAGCTGAAGCTTTTCCCAGCTATATCACAGTACCACCTGTGTTTTATGTTCCAATCTCCTCAGTCTTTGCTGTAAAATATGTTTTTAGGCCAAATACTGGGACTCACCTGCTGCCCAACAGGCATCCTCCAATGCATGCTGAAATGGGTCTGCTTTTTTTTTTATATGAATTTGAGGTGACACTCAAAAGGCAGAAGGCCACTGAGAGCAGTGAAAGGGACTCCCTTGGGAGTCTCATGGGCGCTAACTCAAATTTAGCACAAAGGGGTCACCCGCAACATACTGACAGCCAGAACTTCAAAGCAGGGCGTCAGCACTGCTTACACACACCATCTGATCACATCATCTGTGTGCAGTCAAAATATACCAGAAAGATGATGAGACAAATTAGAGAGAGATTGTTCTTGGATGCTCATAACTGGATGAGAAGCATTTCTCAATTAGGACCAGGTTTTAGTACAAGGGATGTGCTGAAGGCAACATGATCAAGTCTTGCAGAATCAGTCTTTCCTTTTAAGCTCTTTCCACCTCCATGGTTTTCCCCTGCAGCAGATGCTGCAGCTGGACAACATGGAAAATTTTCTTTTTGTCCTTCCCCCAGACCTCCCGTCCAGCAACTGCTGCCTCTCCTGAGGAGCCCTAATCCCCACTCATCCCTTCTGCTTTGGTTCCACAACTCCACTTCCTAGCTTTCTCCTTTATACCAGGTTAGATTTCTGAAACAAGACAATCCTGAAACATGTCTACTACACATTTTGCTGCTGTAATCAAAATGAAATGCTGCCATTTGAAGAAAAAGGCATACTGTCACCTTAAAGGCTGGAAACACAACTCACTCCAATGGCCAGAAGTGAATAGGTAATGGAAGGAGCTGCTTTCAAACTCTCAGACTGCTGCCATCCTATTTCACTTTGGAAGATGAAGCTCCTGTGAGTGGAAATCAGACAAATGGCAGGGGCAGCACTGAAAGATTAGTCTGTGCAAAGTCTTTGTGGGTGGGAATGCTGTGGAAAAGGAGCACTCAGGGTGGGGGATCGGCAGTAGATACGTTCCTGTCTTTGGCAACTGAATTACAGCCTCGCACAAATCCCTTAACTACATCCTCAACTCCTTTGCCTGCAAGAGACAATTAGGCTCTTTGGGATGTACAGATCAAGGTGTTACTCACAGCCTTGTCAACATACCACACGCACTGGACAGAGGGTTCACATGCCATGTATGTGATCACTATTAACCTATATGCTAAACCATTTATCACATACCTTTGGCCACCTCATTTGCCCTTTGCTCACTATTCATCTCAGCTGCTTCCTTTCCACATTCCAATCCTCTGTGCAACTCCTAACAATAGTCATTAAAAACTGCCCAAAGAAATGTTTCTGTCTGTCTTCTGTCATTATCAAGCACAGTTCAAGAGAAACTCAGTGTGGGACATGGAACTGAGGTGTCTTCTTGGGGAGTCATTGGAAACAGAAACAACTGTTTACAGCCACTGAATAAAGCATTTGTTTCCTGCTCTCAATCTTTTACTAAGGGCTTTGATTCGTTCGGTCATTTGGAAAAAGGCAATGGGATATGTTGCATTAACATAGAAGGTATAATTTCTGCCCTCTGCTGAATTCACTGTGAGACAGCTTGATTTTATATATAGAGTAGGATTAAAGTCATCCTTGGGGTTCTTAAAAGCAGACTGAATAGAGCCTTGAGTAACCTGGTCCAATGTGACAACTGACTCTGCTTTGAGCAGGAAGATTGGACTATGATCTTCCAAAGCTCCTTTCAAGCTGAATCGTCCTAGGATCATGAATTAAAACAATTAAGAACATCAAAATGGAAAGTCATGTCATGGGGTTTCTATATTGAGTCTTCCAACTGAGCTAATACTTACTCAGTAGAGTCAGTTCCTGCAGAACTGACTGTAATGAAACTCAAAATGAAAAGAGAAAGGATGAAATAAAAAACAGAGGCAAAAGATTTAACTAATAAGAATTACTTTTTGTACACATATATTGCTATGGGATAGATTAAATTCCTGAGACTAACATAGTTGTTTCCTTCCACTCAAGGGAATTGTAAAAACTCATTAAGTGTCTTTATAATGCAGACAATTAAGATAAAGATGAACTGTAATGTTAAAATACAGGAAAACATTCTCACCTAAACAAAGCCTGCTTAGAATCTTATGGATGTGGGTGGAGAGGCTGTTCTGGCACTACTTTGAAGAGAAGTGTGTGTATGAGAGAAGCAGAGAATGAAAAAGACACAGCGCAAGGGTAGCTCCAGAAAATGGACCCAGCTGTATTTTTTGTCCTAAGAGAACCAGAAATTGCCTTTTTGGACTCTGCACATTCTTTTTTTATGAAAGGAATTGCATCTCAGATAGCTTCCAACACTATTTTCTCTCAGTACGTAGAATATCCTAACTGAATTTCGGCTGTTTATCTTGGTTTCCATAACTTAGACAAAAAAGGTGTTTCACTACTTTAAACACTTGTGGGGTTTCAACCATCCATGTATTGAGCATGTCACAAATCATCTTTACAGCTACACCTCAGAGAGGGAAGCACCACAAATTGTCTATTACAGGGAGCTACTTAAAGAGAGATGGGATATCTGGCTCACAGTCAAATATAAAATAGAAAGAGAGTGACCAAATGTAAAACAAATTCTCTCAAACCCACAAAGCAAAGCAAAACAAAACAACAAGACTGAGAGGACTTACTCCTGTGTCTGGCCATTTCTAAAGTCCTAAGAGATTTTCTTTGATCACAACAAGGGTATAATCCCAGCAGTGTTGCCAACACACTGGAATGAGTGCTTGTCCTTGCACAGGAGATGTGTCTGTGCTGCTTTCATTCATAGCCCCGGATTACCCTGTAACTCATCCCAGTCCCAAATTGTCACACACATCTACAGAAAGAAGGCAACACCAGACAACACTCTGTGTGTCCCACCTCTACAGGCTTCCAGCTGTCCCGTCAGGACTTTGCGAATCTCTGAAATCCATGTGTTTTTCAGCTCAACAGAAGATGCCTAAGAACAAAAGAGAAAAAGCTGAAGCAGATCTGGTTAAATACACTGCCAATCCCTTGGCTGCCCTAAGATACATTTGCTTTCAGTCTCACCCAGTAATGAAAACCTGTGGCTAGCTCTGAAATCAACTGAAAGCAGAGGGCACTTTTCAAGACCGTTGTCATGAATCATGATGTTACCATGAATTTAAGGTCCTGTACTTATTTTTCTGCCTGCCTTCCAAATAATTTCTATCTTTTTTTTTGCTTAAAGTCACAATCATTTCCACCATGATAAATCAGAGGTTTTAGTTCCAACACAACAATGTGGCTCCTGGTGACTATTGTTTTTTGACAGTGTACACAGCACAGTGAAGATGGAAATTTTCTTAAAAAGAATACATTTGAAAAGAATTCTTGGAAAGAAAGGATGGTCATTACCTGAATGATATAGACTTCTTCTCTGCCATTATACCAGATCTCAAATTTCTTGTTATCCCCTTTTACGTTTTCTGTAATGCCCACAGTGCTCATCTGTTTCAAAATACAAAAGGAAAATCCAGAAAATGTCAAGGGTCTTTAAATTGTATTTGTAAAAGGCTGTTTTTACTTCTGCACCCTAGAGAGCTATTGAAAGAAAAAAAAATTAGAACGTATTTCTCAAAATATAACTTATCATTTCAATTTTTTTGATTCTTGCAAAAAAAAACAATTTTTGTTATTCTTGAAAAAAAAAAATTGATTTGCAATTGATTCAAAAAAATGCTCAAAAGTAACAAGTTAATGCCTGAGTTCATCTTCACCCTTTTTGTCTGCTTGAACTTAGCCAACTTTTACCCCTATCCTGTCCATCTACAGAAATTTTCAATCTGAGGTAGGTGGTGATTTTAACTCACCATCACTGACCTGTTGGGGTGGGAGAGGAAAAGGAACAGGATGGGGCTTTATGGTGTTGCGTTGCTTAATCTGGAGATTTAACAATTCATCTGCGAGTCTGAATAACAAAAAATTTCACAACGATATTCTGTTTGCTGAAACAAAATCGACAGGTGAGTCATGAACTAAGTTCCTAGCTAGACAAGACAAGGAACTGAGGAAGAGAAAATAATTCTAGATTTTTTCAATGATAGCTTCTTAATAACAAGTTTTAACTCCAGCTGCTACTAATCTTAGCAACTTCTTCCCATCTTACTTCTGTATTTTGTTCATTGCCCTTATTTTGACTTGTCTTAGACTGAGATTTCAAAAATTCAGCAGCAAGAATCATGACATAATCAAGGCCAACTCCACAGAAACTTCAAACATTTGTATCAATGATATTTGCAATGACTAGTTCGCTTCTTGAACCAGGCTCTACTACAACTCCTGGCTGGTTACCCTGGCACAGGTTTGTAGCATTCCAATTGATAATGTATGTTTTATGTCTGAAGTCACAAGTGTTATATCAATGGGATTAAAGGAAAAACTTGGTTTACTTGCAAATTTTAACAGAAAATGTCCTGATTCATATCTGGAAATATCACTCCTGCAAATAAGAGGGTACTTCTATTACGCCGTGATTCATCAGTAGCTACTCTTGACACAGAGTATATCTGCTTGACTGATGCTGGTAGCAAAGCTCATAACAAAACTGAACTTGGAAGCTGTATGAAGCTGTCTTCTCATGGCCGTCTGTGTTCTCCTCCCGTTTCTTGCAGAAAAGCAGCATCTTTGTGTAGAGAAAGAGGTGTCTCTGCATTGGTTTGAATCTAGCCAAGTCCTTCACCTTGTTGTGTCCTTTCTTGTGGTCAGTCCACACATTGAAGGAACCTTGCATCAAGAGCTTACCAAGCTCGCTGACATCCCCCTAGCAGGCAAGGAAAGCAGAAGCTGTATCTTAATGGACTAGGGCAATCCTGGACACAGTCCTTTCCTCTAGGGATGTTTAAGGTTTCAGGCGCCCAGGCATCCCTTGTCCTGGGGGGGGGAGTTGTTGCAGCTGGAACTGTGTCTAACTGTGTCTAGCGTCTAAGATCAGTCTCAGGACTTCTTTGGACCTGTCACACTTCTCCCTCCCTGTAGTGACTACAGAGGAAACCACTTTCAAGACTCTTGAGCCCAAGGCAGTGTGTAGAGGCACTGCAGCCAAGACGTCCAAGCAAAGTCCTCGACTCTCAAAGACAGAGGTCCAGGTTCTGCTTTTCTACAAGTATCTCACGTATCCCTGGGCAAGATCTTGAAAAACGCGTAGATGTCTGAAGTGCCTAGGGGTATGTAGGGGTGTTAATTCTCTCCCATTTCAAAACAGAGCCTTTAAAAGCTTTCTCACTAGTTTCTCAGCTCACCATCTGCAAACTATGGAATGCTGCACAGCTGTGGTCAAAGAGGAAGTAAATACACTAAAGAGTCATAAAAGTATCTGAGCAAGAAAGTAAACAGCAACCAGACCTTTCTGTTCCAAAGCCTTTGTCCAAGGGGGAAAGACTCCAACTGATATAAATGACATTTGAATCAAATACCACCAGCACAAACATTTCTAGCATAGTTCAATACTAAAGGGCACAATAACATATGAATAGAGGAAAAGGCAACATCTATATCCTAATGGACTTCAAGAAATAATGATCCTAATTACACTGGGGGCAGGTTTTTCAGGGAGTGCTTTGCATAAATTTAGGGAACAAGCTGAGTTCATTATTAAAGAACATATTTTCAACATTTCTATGTGCTGTTGATTATAAGGTGAAGATGTTGTCTACCAGAGGGAATATCTGGTTTCTGGAAGCACAGATTGCAAGTTGGTCTCCTCCTCGCTCCCCACCCTCTACCCTAGATTCACCAGGAAAACAAGGATTTGATTAGGTACTTCAATACTATTCCAGGACATTATAAAACTCTCCAAAGCATTAATAATAATAATAATTTCTGTAAGTCTCTTATCTCTAATTTACAGAGTTAGATTTTTTATTCGTGCACACAATATTGTGTTCACATTTCCATGTGCACATGGGTGTAAACTTATTGAAGAAAGACAAAATTAAATCAAATAAACATATTTTCTGTGTTGTTTCGACAATGATGAGACCTTCTGGCCACTCCAGCTGCTCTTTGGTGTGGCAGGGAGCTCCAGAGGTTCAGTTAAGCTTTTACAACGGGGCTATGTCTTCAATCTTGGATCTGGGACTGGAGTGATAGCAAGTGTATTTTGTCCTAAAGGCTGTTTAATTAAAATGGAGGATTTCACCACTAACTCAGGTATAATTATTTCCTCTTAGAACAATACATTGTCTCTCTTGTTTATGGAAGATGAGAGATACATAAGAATGAGTCAGGTGCTGATCAGCAAACTACCCAGGCCTGATTGTGTACAAAGGCCAGAATGAGAGTAAGGAACATCTCAAATTCCTGTGCTCCAAACTTTCCTCTACTTTTTTTGTCTTTTCCTTAAAAAATAAAATTAAATTAAACTAGAAAAAGCTAGCAATTCCTTACACAAGAGGTCAGCCCCTCAAGCCTGTATGTGCACACCTTCAGGAAGCAGAATTGTCTATGCAATTAGCAGCACTCAACAGCTACCACAAAACCTGCCTTTCCTCTGGCATAACGTCCTTCTCCGAAGCGCGTTTCCACCACACCTCTGTGGGGGAAGTCTCCCCCAGCTGGGGTGTGGATTCCTGAGCAATGGGAAGGGTTTATCTGGCATCATAGCTGAGCAGCTGACACAAGCAGAAGGGAGAGAGGAAATTATTGGGTTGTTCTTCCACACTTTCGCCCCACTTCCTGATCAGGTAACAAACTGTCTCAGGAATGCTGTCAACACTGGGCTACAAATGCAGTCATGATGAATCTTTTCACATCTTTCAGTTCACCTGAGAAAGCACAGGCAAAAGTCTGGCCCTCAGAGCAAGCATGGCAGTCACCTCATGGAAATCTGGCAAATTAAAAAGTAGGGGCTCAAAATTGACAGGAATCATCTGTTGAATTCCTGCATAAAAACCTGCTCTGAGATTTGAAAGCAAAGAATATGCAGAAGTGATCCTGACCTCAACATTTATACGGACAGGGATCTGCATGGGGCCAGATAAGCTGCCTTTGAATAGACCCCTTCTACCCAGGCTAATGATGTCACCTTTCTAGGAGAAGCTCTTCTGTCCATCCCTTACAGAACTGTTTAAAAACAGAGTATTTTTGGTAAATAGTTGTAACTATATAAATTTAATCTGGGAAAGACACAAGGAAAGCTGTGTTGCTCCTTTAGGGATGACCCAGGAGCAGGGGAAACAGCGGAAGCCAAAGATGTGCCATATCCACAAGCTTTCCACACCCGTATTTACAAGCCCAAGTCTGCAAAAATATCCAGGCTTTAGTGTCTGAAGACTTTAGTCCAAAGACTAGAGCTCTAAAATTAAGTTCTGAGACACTGAAAATTAGCCATTACCAGAATGGCCTGAGGATCTACAAGGTATTGCTCCCGCCACCTAGAAGGCTGAAAAACACACACTGATAAAACAAATGGATTAAAAAATGCAAACAAACCCACCCACAGGAATAGTCCTGCAGATACAAATGAAGACTTTGTTGTTACAAAAGAGAAACTATTGAGCAAGCTAATGCATTCAGCAAAGTGCAAGCTGCCAGTGTGTGCAGCAATCGCTGATAATCCCAGGGGAGGCCAGGAGGTTGTCACTGCAACCAGCGATTCAGAAGCCCCATCAACCCAACCCACCCTGTGTGCTGGGCCCTGTGTGTGGCCCCAGGCTAAAGCCACCTGGCCCCAAACAAGTCCAGAAAGGAAAGTTTGAGGAAACTCGAAATCCAACAGAGATGTGTCCAGATGTTCGTGCATACTGCTTTTGAAAAAGCTTTTCTCGAAGTGTTCCCTGGGAAAGTTTGTCTTAGACTCTACTACTGTGATGGAAAAGTGCATCTACTAATATCACAAGGCAGCCACTGCTTCATCTTCAATGCAGCAGCCTACGAATTTGTTTCCTTGTTTCAGATGTAATGCAAAAGCCACATATTCAGCTGTGCACAGCAGTGAACTTACAGCACTCAACTGAGCAGGCAGTTAAATTCTTTTATAGAATAATTCTGACACAGAGGGTGTGGTCTCCTCATCTACCAAATTCAATTTACACAAAGGAGAGAATGAGAGAGATTAAAACTACTGATGCCACTCCATTCTTTAAAACGCAAAATAAATCTTCCCACCCAGAAGTGGTTGGTACAGATCTCGGAACCTTTCTGGAAATTACATTCAGCATAAGGTCCTGTTTTTCTGGTGTTCAGACTAAGTGCCATTAGCCTATCCTACAGTTCTTTAAACCAAACTGTTGAGAATATTGTTTTTTCTTGGAGGCTTCACCATACAGCTGCTTCAAAATGGGCAATCACATCACTCTGAGGCCTCACTTCCTCAGATGCCCTTCTCCCTGGTGTGTCATTCACTTCCACTTCGCACACACAGGCTCATTTTCTGGAGACAGCACCAGATCTTGCAATTCAGCTGCCTTCCGTGGAACCTCAGCAGAGCTATATGCTGCTTTGTGCTGTGGTTGTTATTGCTTATGTCAGATAATGAGCTTGTCATGCGCAGGGATGGATCCTATTACCCACTTTAAGACAATTTTTTCCTCCTGAGAACAAGAGATGTGGAAATGCTCAAATTACATAGAAATTACAAGCAGTTTCAGCAAATTTCTTAAACCGTTTCTGGTTTCATCTCACCTACAAACGAGTTTTGGGTCTGATTAGTCAGGATTGAGTTAGTCATACTTCCTCCTCACATTCTCACAAACCACCATGTCATACGTATATGTCAATAGGCATTTTCGTCACCACAACATGCCAGTAAGTGGCCTTATTCAAAGATGTGGCATAGGCTCCTGCAAAGGGAACCAGAAACAGGCTCCAAATGACCACGGATGATAGGAACTTTGCATGGGTGAAGATGAGGGTACAAGCAACACCAAAAAATACCTCATATCCTGTGATTGCTATCTGGTGCATGGAGTCATTAACTGATTTGATGATATCAAGCACAGTGGCCAGGGCCTCTTCCAGTTCAGCGGTACCTTCTGAGTTCTTGCTACATTTCAACATTTCCTGATTAAACAAAGATAAGAAAACGACTTGAAATCTTATTATACCAGAAGACACTATAAGACAGTCCTCCCTGGTGTCTACACTGCATAGACAAAGTAGCAAAATTACAGAATTATAGGAGAAGAGGAAAAAAGAAACAAACAAAAAAAAAAACCACAAGCCACAAGGACATTCACTTGGATTATCACTGCAGATAGACAGTTTGAGTTCTTGCACATTTTTAAGTTTTATGGATTAACTTAAGATTCTGGCACATTTACAATGATCTTTTGCATATCACAAAATTCTATCCAGCTTTCTCCATCTCTGTGCGACAAGTTACAAATCTATATTTGGAAACCATTTTGGACAGCAATCTCAAAGCACAATGCTGGCCTATATCTCAAAAACTCATTAATCATTATATCCCACTTGAAATAAGGAGGGTTACTCCAACCATTGCACAAGGAGCAAGAAACGAAGCTCTGGATAAGTCAAGAAGCATGTGACCAAAGCCAAGAAACAGTTCAAAAAAAAGTTCAGGGAGGGCTCAACTTCTGTAATCACTTCACACACAGAGATTCTATTTTGAGTTCCTATTGGACAACATTTGCTATTTCTGTGTGGTTTTTCCTTGCTACTTATCTCTGAAAATTTCTAATCAAGGCTCAGGATTCAATTCTCTTCCTGGAACCAACTGAGTTATAACCTATACAAATCCTGACAGACACTCAGATGTTTTTAAATGAAGTGCCTTGCCCCTTTTTCAACATACAGAAATGCCCTGAGCCTGATTTAAATGGACTGGTTGTTTTTTTCCACACTGTATTGTATAGAAGATAGTAATTGCCAATGAGTACCTATTTGAGATCAGCATTGAGATCAGCTGAAAGAATAGATGAAAGAGAAGGTTTGATTGAATGCAAGTTTCACTTCAGAGACACAAGCTGTGAAGAAACTAAGGAAAAGACTACTGCAACAACCATGCCTCACTAAGAACTGCACAGTAAGAGAGTTCAGTTTTGTTTCCCCGTGCTGACCAGAGTACCAGCAGAAACTATGCTCCAGAAAAGCACTCAGGAATGAAGCAGGATACTACCGGATTTTCTTCCTTCATCTTTACTACAGTAAAAATGAGACCCCCTTTGTCCTGGTGGACATCTGAGGCTGTATGGTCTTTTACGTGGTTTTCACCCAGGTATATTGTTTTCAGCCACATTTTGGGTTTGGAAATCTCCTAATCCAAAAGCTGTGAGGCTTTCGTTTCTGTGAAACAAGGCTGAAGGAAGGGTAGTTCTCACAAACCCCAGACAGCAGGGGCTGAAACGCGTGGGTGAGCAGTGCTCAGAGAGTAAAAGCAAGGTGGATTCATACGGTACCTGCTCTACAGTCCCTAAAACCAGGACGGACCCAAGGTCTCTGCACAGCTTTTTTAATATCAGCTAAAATGATTGCAACCAGAGGGTTGCAATAATTGTGACCCAAATTTTACAGCTCTTCTGACCTAGAATTTACAGCTCGTCTGGCATGCACCTTTAAGGCATTAGTTTGCTACCAGTTCTTCACAGATTCCCTTCCTCCTACACCTGTAGAAGCTCCTGCTGCCTGGGTCTCAGTGTGGCATCTACACGAGCCTCTGAATCCCTGACAAGTTAAACGTCCTTGCCAGCGTGCAGTGGCTACGTACAAAACTTGTCTGACTAGCTTCAACCCCAATGGCTGTAACCTGTTTTGCTTGAGAATTATACTCCTTGATCTAATCTTGGTTTATTTACAGGCATATTTCAAATTAAAAGCTAGATCTGGTTTACTCCTGCTCTTCTGAAGACCTTGACATTTTCTCCCTTCTCAAGAGAATAGCTTCAAGAAATAGAGCCAAATTTACTGGATTTACTGAACTTTTGGATTAAGTTGAAGTAAATCTACCACAGTCAGAGAAATTACATCTTTGCTAATATTCTCCTTCAATATTTGGATTTTACAACTTTGTTTAAGCCAAAAAATAGGTTAGAGAAATACCACACAAATAAATGAACAGCCACATCCTCACACGGTTTAAACCGGAGCAATTTAACTGGAGCCATGCTAACTATTAGCAAATAAGACTGCAGTCTAAAATCTTCACTGCAAGTTTCACAGTAAGTTTTGTGACAGTACACAGCATTGCCTTAAAGGCCACATGAAGTAATAGCAGTATTTATCCTGAAACAGAAATCCTTTGTTTGACTCTGTTGCCAGCCTACAACTTAACATTACAAATTATTTGTTGATGAAGTGAGAGAGGATTTATTTCCAATTAGTCCTTCAGAAAATAATTCTGACATGCAGTTCTTTAAGTATAACAAGCTTTGCACTCTCATGTTGAACTTACCTTTAATATCAGCTGGTACTTGGTGATTCTCTGAACTGGTTTTAAAAGATAAGCATCTAGTGAGAGCTTATGATCCAATTTACGCTGACATTCCTGTAAGGGACAAAAGAGAAGAAAAATATAATTGCTCTTAGAAATACAGTTAAGACATCAGGATGTAAGCTATGGTTTGAAAATCTAAAGAGGATTTTTCTGTGGATTAAAGGAGAGAAATTTGTTCCACCTGCATATGAGTTAAGTTACTTGTGCTATAGTGACTCCTGTCCACAAAGTCTACTTACTATCTAGTCTATCTAGACTACCTATCTAGTCTCCTGTAAAGAGATATTGACACATACCAAGCACCTGCAGTCAGTATAAGAAGCATGCAGAAAACCTTTTTTTTTGCTAAGCTTTCTAAAGAAAGAAGAGATTAAAAGGAGAAAAAAATGACAGACTCTCATTGCCCATCTGAAGTGAAATTCCACCTGAAAAAAGCTGCTGTCTCCACACTGTCTCCAGAGAGCTTCAGACCTTGGTTTGTTCTGACAGTATTTTTCATATATCTGGAGGTCCTCTTTCTGTAACAAAAGGAGAGCTTAATTAAGATAAAAAAGAATCCACAGAGCACTTGCCATTAGTCAGACTTACTTTTACCTTCAAGTTTAAGCATGAGAGTGAGTTAAGTCAGAGGCAGAAGTCTGTTTATAAAATATACTAAAGCTTTTTACTTTTGTAAAGTTAAAAACACCGAAAAGTGAGATTTTTAAGGGCTCATACAAGGCAAGGAGACTGCAGACTGGAAGACGTACAATTTAATTGTAAGAAAGACCAAGAAAGTCCAGTTCATGGCTTTGCTAGAGACCATCTGTGCCATTTTGGAGGTCCACATTTTTCCACAACATCTACCAATTTAAGCTTTTTGCCATTAATTGGAAATATGGAAAACCAGCACTGGCGAAAAGTTCCTGTTCAACACAAAATCATCCATATACAAGATTATCCATATACAAATTTTCCTGATGGCAAGTATAAGCAAACTTAAAAGCCCCTTTGGCTTCCTTGCATCTTCCTTGCACACCACTAATGCAAAGTAACTGAGGTGTTACATTCTCACTTAACTTTACCTGGTACTAACTTGTTCATATGCCCTTACTTTATTTGCCCAAAGGAAAATTACTGGCAATTCTTACTAATCTTTACAGACCAAATTGCAAGTGAACTTTCCAGAAAATCAAAACTTAAATTAAAAAAACTCTGACTGATGAGCCTGTTGTGCTTTGGTCTGATTGGTCCTGCTCTCTCAGGTGACTAGTCAATGACTAGTTGCTTGGACACAACCAGTACCTTCCAGAGATTTGAAAAGATGGCTTGAAAACAAACAAACAAATCAGAAACATAATTTTTGTTAAAAGATCTGACACAGACAAGTATTTACCAATAATGCTGAGCACCTAGCCAGGGTTTATGTGTTGAAAGCACTTTGAAAATAGTGCTGGATCTCAATGGCATAAGGGTGAATTAGGAAGTGGGAAGTTTGTGGTGTTGAGGTGCCAGGCCAGGCAGGGAGAAGTGCTTAAACTCTGCTCTCTCCAAATTAGAAGTGGGTGGATACACTTGACTCATACCTCATCCTCCTACGGAAGCCTATGGCAAAATCTCCCTGTCTTCAGTAAACACAAAGGCAATTCCTCTGGCAGGGGAGAGGTACCTCGAGCTCCCTGGGCTACATGGGCAGAGAGGGACAGACAGGCTGTTCCTCTGCCCGGTTCTCACTCGGGGAACCATGAGCCAGGTTGGCACAGAACCCAGCTGCCCCTCTCCTTGTGGATGTGCCCACAGTGAATCAAGGGCAGCACCAAAAACAAAGCTCAAGAATTGCTGCGTCTCACATCCGTACTGCCAGCCCCCTAGACAGTGCCTATATCCTTGGTGCAGGAAAAGTATTTCCTTCTGTGTAGAGTTCCTACATGAAATCGGTGTCCCCCACAGCCCTGGTGTCACCCGGCCGAGCCAGGCGTGGAAGCGGCGCGGTGCTACGCAACACCCCGCTGCGCTGGGGATTAGGCAACGCGCAGGGCTCCGCCGCGGCTCCGCGGGATAACAACAACGGTGCTGTTTCAAAATAAGCGCAGTTTCCCTCCCGCAGATAGGATTGTTTCTACACGTTGCCATGGTAGGAAGTTAGCAGGGGGTAAAACCTGCAAAACTAAAGTCATCAGAGGGTTAATCAAGCATTACAATTTGATTCTCACCCACAGGAGACTAATAGGGCTAGACAGGTAGGACAGAGGCAGGGATAGTCCAAAACGATACTAGGGGTACAAGAAAAGTACCCGTTTAGTCTATAGGATAGGTAAAATAATCATCAATCACTTGCTTCAGTGGAACAGCCCTATACTGTCATAGGGTACTGATGCATAAAGTAGTGACACCAGCTCAAACAGCTGTTTACATCCTTAAATCCAGTTTAATTTTTGTAATAGTGAAAGGAATAGGGAATTATTCATGAAAAGATTAGGAGCAGACCCCAAAATCTCAGCAAACAGTTAATTATTTAATTACTCAATTCTCAATCATAGCGTTCTGTATTTTCATATTCGGAGGTTCTGACCGCCTGCTTGTACTTTTACAGCATGCTCATCTCTGCCTGCAATGTTTTTCCTTTCCATGGTGACTCCTATCTCGGGATCTTTGTAAACATTCACTCACAGTGTGTTTTCTAGGGCACATAGGCACAGTTCCAGTTATCTTTGTTGGGTGCTGATTTGCAAGTATATTTTGCTTGAAATTGGAATGTAGCCCTTTGAATGCAACTCCAGGCTTACAGTCAGCTGTTACAGTCCTTTTGTAGGTAGCTTCATTTTCTGAATGTTCCTTTTCCCCTGAACAACCAATGCTCCAACTGTTGATTCCTGACGAATTATTTTCTTTTTCCGGGATTAGAAATATGAATTATGAACACATAATGGTGGTTAACACACATCTTTTGTTTCTTCCTGAGCATTCCTACTTTGGTTTGCCAAGGCTTTCCTCTCAAACCCATGTTCAGCAGACCGGCCCAGAGCATCCCCCTTGCTGGGCCTGCCATCCTCCAGGAAGGAGGGTTCAGATCCATGGTGGCAGCTGAGCTGGTGGCTCCAGCAGTACTGGGAATGCATGGGGACACGGCAGGGGACTGAGGGATGCTGCCCAGCGCCAGCATGTCCTGCCACAGCTCTCAGGGTGCTTGAAGGCAGCGCTGGAATCCGGGTTGAAAGCTCCTAGTGTGATCAGAGGGGTCCAACTCTCCAAAAAGCACCAAGTTAAAAATGAGCCTGTTCCTCACCACAGGCCCACCACGACGCTGCAGCAGCAGCGCTCCGGCCAGGAAGGTTCCAGCGGTGCCGAGGGGCAGACGTGGAGGATCAGCGCGGCGACAATGCGAGTTTCCTCCCCGAGCCAAAGCAAGCAGCCGTAACTCACGGGGCAAGGCAGGAGCCTCCGCTCGGCGGGAAGCTGCCCAGGCACGGGGAGCACAAACACACAACCAGGCTTTTGTTTGTGCCTCCCAACGCAGGCCAACAGAAACAGCAACTTGCTGGATTTTCTGCGGCTGCTGCTTCAAAGAGAGCGTTAGGGAAAGTCCTTGAATCAAAGGTGCTACTGTGTGAGCAGAGACAGCTCAGGGAGAGGCGGCCGCTTTCTTAGCGCGAGATTTGAAGTAGCACGAAGGCAAATGCATGATTTAGCTTCTAATCCCATAGATTTACTGTAGCTCTTTGACTGTCCCATGCTAACGAAGATGGCAAAGGGACCAATTTCCTTTCATTGCTAGCCGAAAACCTGCTTTAGCGCTGCTGAGTTTATATTGGTAGAATAGTGAGAATTGGGCTCATCAGCTGTTTTTGCAGAGAAAGACACAAGCTGCAAAATTTAAAGATGGCACTTGAACATTCTACATAATTATAGGACCAATTCTGTATCAAACCTTTCTTTCTAGCTTCCAAATCAAGAAATATTTGGAAGCTTTAGGTTATTTGATGCTCCTTGGATACTGAATCCCCAAGTTCTTTGAAGACAGCTTATCCAATTTTGCATAATGATTTTGCTGCATCATTTTCCTGCTCTGCATCTGGATGTTAGGAGAGCAACTAATATTTTTAGTACAAAAGCCTGATAACAACCATTCCAACAAAGAAGCTATTTTGGAAAGCAAAGAAAAGATTCAATTTACTTTTTTGACAAAGCTGAAATCTTTAATATACCACTCTCCCCTATTCCCTCTAAATCATTTAATATTCTCTGTATTGAACATAAACATTTAAACCAGCTAACTATTGTCATTCCTTTTTGCTTAGAAGAGAAAGCAAAAAGTTCCATAAGTTCCATAAGAGTTCCATAAGCACCATTTGCAAGTGCAATGTAACATTATACATGTTAGTTTTAAACATACACTAACAAGTAGTTTATGATCTGGAAAAAATATGGGGAGCTTGTCTTGGGACTATGAATGCCCCATCACCTAATATCAAGCTTGATATATCTCAGCAAGTAGAGAAATAAAAATCATATTTCAAATCAGATCTCTCTTCAGGGTGAGAAATTAGAAAAGGTGGGGACAGCAGCCAAGCCAAAGACTCAAGCAGCAGAATGTGGAGGGGTGTGAAGAGCAGCAGCAGGCCGGGGTGCAGGAGTGTGACCGCAGCAGGGCGGGCAGCAGCAGGGAAGGCTTCTTTGAGGCAGCCCCTTGACTTACTTTGGTGAAATGCAACCTCTAGCAACACAGAGCAGGCAGCAGGGATCTTGTTATATCAGAGCTAACAGAGGCAAGTCACTTCCAGGAGTTTCTCGTTCTAAGCAGAGGGTCTTTTTCCAGCTGTTCCATCAGAGAACGGCAGTGACCCACCAAAACAGGTTTTTCTTATTAGCAGGGTCTCTGCATGAGTGCTGTAAGCACAGGCACCTTTTGTTATGCCACAGGAAGCAGTGCTAAGAGCCCCTCAGCGCGAGGGGCTGGGGGCTCCCCATGGAAAGTGTTGCAGGATTTGCACCCTGGGAGCCACAGGAAGCCAAGACGTCTGAGCAAAACCACCCTGCTGGGTGGTTTGGGGCTTTCCAATGAAGTGGGCTTGCTCTGCTGTTCAGCAAAACTGGGTCACACTCAGCACAAGGGCAGCTAACCCTTGCCACATCACACGACTGAGGAGGTTCCTGCTCGACTGTTGAGTCTGGGAAGAACAACCAGCCTTGCAGGGGCTCATGGAGCTCCTGGGGTTTCGCCACCCAAGGGAGGT